AAACTAACTTTCCGAATATTAATCGTTCCGAATTTTGAACAAGACCCATCATAACCAACCCGCCGGTCATTGAGCCGTACACGCATCTACGACAGCAGTTGATCGATCGACTGTCATCATTGGAAGAGCAGCGCGTCCGTCAGCTACTGCACGACGAAGAGCTCGGTGATCGTCAGCCATCACAATTTTTGCGACACCTGAAATCGCTGGCTGGTCCAACGCCGTTGCAACCGAATCTCCTACGTCATTTGTGGCTGAGACGACTACCCGCGCACGTCCAAACTGTGTTGACAACTCGACCTGAGCTTTCGTTGGAGCAGCTTTCAGACGTGGCGGATAAAATCGTGGAAATCTCGCCGCTCTCCACCGTGCATGCAGTTGAACATGATTCTGAGCAAGTGAGCGCTCTCCGTTTTCGTCATCGTGAGAAGCCGCGAGCTCGTAGTCGCAGTCTCTCTCAAAGTTCTCGCCGAGATTTCCGTGGTTCAGCAGAGAATCAGAAGGATTTGTGTTGGTACTGTCGTCGTTTCGGAGATGACGCCGAGAAATGTTTATGCGATGTAAAAAATGGCAAAAACAGTCAGTAGCGGCGACTGACTGTCCTTCGTCCATCAGCCGCTTATTCGTTGTCGATCACTACACCAAAAAACAGTTCCTCGTCGACACTGGCTCGGATTTATGCTGTTTTCCGAAGCGTTTTCTTCGTTACCGTCGTGCTGTCGTGGACCTCCAACTCAGTACAGCCAACAACAGCGTCATCAAGACCTATGGATACATAAATCTGAAATTCAACCTAGGTCTCAGGAGAGATTTCATGTGGAAATTCATCGTAGCTGACGTATCATCACCGATCCTTGGATCCGATTTTTTGGCTCATTATCATCTGCTTCCGGATTGCCGCGATAAGCTTTTAATCGATATGTCGACTGGTCTCAATGCCATTGGGCACCTGCGCCCGTCTATGGAATGCAGTGTAAAAGCGATCGTGATATCCGCACGTCTCCAGGGCCGCCTGTTTCTTGTCGTCCTCGTCGTCTCGCTCTTGAAAAATTCAAGATCGCAAAGGACGAATTTGATCAAATGCTACAACTTGGTGTTGGCCGTCCATCGGAGAGCCCTTGGTCATCGCCGTTGCATTTGACACGGAAAGGCGTTAATAATTGGAGACCCTGCGGTGATTTTCGTTCCCTCAACAGCCGCACTCTACCCGATCGTTACCCTGTCAGACATATCCACGATTTTTCAAATGACATCGACGGCTGTGTGATTTTCTCTACGATTGACTTGGTAAAGGCGTACCAACAGATCTCTGTACACCCGGATGACATCTGTAAAACAGCAATCACGACACCTTTTGGCTTGTATGAATTTCCTTTTATGACTTTTGGATTAAAAAATGAAGGTCAAACTTTCCAATGCTTCATGGATGAAGTGACTCGTGGGCTTCCCTTTTGCTACGTGTATATCGACGATATTCTTGTGTATTCGCGAAGCAAAGAAGAGCATAAGCAGCATCTTCGTCAGTTATTTGCACGTTTACACGAATACGGCCTCGTTCTCAATGCTGATAAATGCAAGTTTGGTCTTGACTCCGTTCTATTTTGGGCTACACAGTATCAACTGATGGTATTCGTCCCCCTGCTGAGCGTATTCAAGCAATCGTCGACTACCCTCTACCCAAGACGGCTCAAGGTTTGCGTCGTTTTATCGGGAAGTTCGATTTCTATCGTCGTTTCATTCCTCATGCGTCTGAACTCGAAGCACCTCTCCACGGTGCGCTTAGCAATCCTCAGTTGAAAGGTTCTCAGCCGGTGCCTTGGTCACCGCAGCTTGAAGAAAGTTTTCAGCGTTGCAAGGAGGGCATCATCTGTCACGCGGTACTCGCTCATCCTCGTGTCGGAGCGCCCTTGAGCCTTTTTACCGACGCATCAGGCGTAGCTGTCGGCGCATGCTTGCAGCAATTTGTCGACCACGGGTGGCGCCCCTTGGCGTTCTTTTCCAAGAAATTACCTTTGAAAGAATGCAGTTGGCCTGCATATTATCGTGAACTTTTGGCAGTGTACGAAGCAGTTCAACACTTTCGGCATATTTTGGAAGGATATTCGTTCAAGATTTATACAGATCATAAGCCACTCATCCACGCATTCACGCTCAAGAAAGAAAAATTACTACCGATCCAATTGAATCAGTTATCATTCATATCGCAGTTCACCACAGATATAGAATATATTGATGGTTCAGACAACATCGTCGCGGACGCTCTCTCTCGCATAGAATGCGTGGCAGCAATCGAATCCACTTTGAATTACGAAGAATTATCGAAATCTCAAGACAGCGATGAACTCTTGAAGACTTTTCTCGGTGATCCTCATTCTTCACTTCAACTATAACAAGTCACCTTGCCTGGATCTACAACATCAATTTTCTGAGACGTCTCAACTGGAAAACCACGACCTTTTCTGACGGCACCATTTCGACGTTCAGCATTTCAAAAAATTCACGATTTGAATCATCCAGGTGTGAAAAGTACTTATAAAATGGTAAGTGCTCGTTTTGTGTGGCCTTCGATGCGAAAAGACTGTACTGCGTGGGCAAGGGCATGCATACCGTGCCAAAGGACTAAAATTACTCGACATGTTCATTGGCCGTTGGGAGTATTTTCGCAGCCGACTGAGAGATTTTCGCACATACATATTGATTTAATCGGCCCTCTGCCTACGATTCAATCTTGTAGGTATTGTTTGACCGTTATTGATCGATTTACCCGCTGGCCTGAAGTGTACCCTCTTAAGGATTCAACGAAGGAATCCGTTTGTAATGGTTTACTCAACGCTTGGATTTCTCGTTTCGGGTGCCCCAATGTCGTGACTGCAGATCGAGGTGGACAATTTACGTCGCACATGTTCAAGGACTTCACTAGCGTTTTTGGCATTCACCTTCGGTTAACGACCGCTTGGCACCCCCGGTCTAATGGCCTCATCGAAAATCTTCATCGACACCTCAAAGCAGCAATCATGTCGCATCAACACGAGGACTGGTTAGAAGCTTTGCCACTTGTTTTGCTAGGAATTCGAGCGTCATTCAAAGAAGATATTTCTGCGACTTCGAGCGAACTGGTTTACGGAGAACCTTTACGTCTACCGGGCGAATTTTTTAAATCCTCTGCACTGCCTGGGGGTAGTGATCCGTCTCAATTAGTCTCTCGATTACAGAACATTTTCTCGCAGCTACAGCCTACTCCAACATCTCGGCACGGTACTCCTCGAGTGTTCGTCTACAAAGAGCTGAAGGACTGCGAGTACGTGTTCCTTCGTGAAGGGCCATTTTTGAAAGCTCTGCAACCTCCGTATGCTGGCCCTTACGAAGTTTTGCGGTGTTCGGAGAAGACATTGGTGCTGAACATCCGCGGGAAATCCACGACTGTTTCCGTGGATCGTGTGAAACCCGCATTTTTATTGGGCGATCAACCTCCGTCGACTACCTCACACGTCTCGGCTTGTGTCTCTACGCGTGCTTCCAGTCCCGCATCTCCATCATCATCTACGCGGCGGACTCGTCATGTTCATTTTGCACCCACTACCTAGCGTACAGTACTGCCTAGGGGGTGGTACGGCGACGCACTTCAAGTCGTTCTTGCATGTACAATCCAATATTCCTATTGATTGTACATTGCCTTTTGTTTTGTTGTTGCTCGGGAGATACATAAATTCCTCTCCCCGAGTTAGTTAAGTTACGACTGCCACACCGAGAGGAACTCAATAAAAAGCTCTTTATACTCTCAGCAATATTTGTCGTTATTACACGTAGCTACATATATAGGCAGATATATGTATAATCGTTATAGATTAATTTTCATTTGCTTACATGAGTAACCTACGTAGAAAAAAGACTGACAATAAATAGAGACATAACATTTCAGTTGTACACTTGGCTATGATAACGCTGTACTATCGCAACGTTGTATAATACTTACAAATCAAGACCTGTAAATATTTAATACATCAGTGTGTATTACATTCGAAAAACAAAAATAACAATGAAAAAATAAAAAAATAAAAAAGTTAACATTACTTGTTGGGTTTTGGCGCTTTCGGACAGGGTTGCTGGAGTGAGAGAAGGGATTTTGAGTGAGAGCGCTCAACGAGCGGTGATAGAAGGTGATTTTGATTTGAATAAGAGCAGTTAGTTAGCAATAGACGGTCGCTACTCTCAGTCCAGCAACGGAGCTTTTGGAGCCTATCGCGTTAGGTCTCAAATTTATCGAACACTGTTTAATAAAGTTATAGTTTTAAAAAGAAAGGTGTGCATACTCTTGGCTTTTTCCCGCAACCCACAAGCCAGGACAGCTCATTGAATTTCTACGGCCCGCAGCGGCAACATTACTATAACAGTATTATATCATCACGCAAAGAACGTTAACGAGTCGTACTGTGTTAAGTTCACGTAATCAAGTAACATATAACACCATCGTTGAAAAACCACATTATTCAATGAAGCTAAATTAAACATGATACTAATAATAATATCAGTAACAAGTTCATAATTAATCTAGCAACGTACGATGCAATGTCATTACAACAAAGTTTATACATCACATACGCGTAATCACTAGCAACGTACGATGCAATATCATTACAACAAAGTTTATACATCACATACGCGTCTTGGAGATATACAGTTAGTAATCAATTGTCTGGAAATAAACTGGCCAAAGCACCACTTAATCTGTGAACACAAAAACATAAGAACAAAAATGTTAGAAAATTTCAATGAGAACCAAAATTATGATTTACGAAGTATAAAACGTGGAAACTACATACGTTGCTGTCCTAGGATGTTCGTCATTGCACAAAATCACCGTTGACGCGTACGCCTTTAAGTTGACAAAGCCCATAAACTCGTTTATACCAACTCCTTTGAGGTAATAATGTCTTTGATTTTATAATTCCATCCCTCGGCCAGCTGGCTCCATATAGTCAGTTGTATCTGTACAAAACATTGAGTAGATTATAAAATTAATAGTTGTTCAGCATTAATAGACAGTGATGAGTAAAAAAGTATATCCATACTGTATTTTTAGTTTCGTCAATCAAGGTAATAGCGCGTTTGATTAACAACGGCTGCTCAGAACGCGATGTAAGATTCTCAACTTCGCTGACCTTTTTTATAATTCCAACTACGTCTAAAAGCAAGATGGTATACAATTAAAATAGTAGATTTGTTCAATTAAAAGTGATCTACATAAATCGAAACTTACTTATTGCTTCGTTTGGTGGTTTATCGCATACCTCAGTGAAATTCGTGAAATACAATTCATAACTCGCTTCGACATCTGGCACATCATATACTTGCTGAACTCGTGAATCACTTACAATTTTAATCTCATAATCGTTATCGACTCCGTTTAATGTGCGATTCGCTGATTTCAGCTTCATATTGGATATGTATAAAACCATATTTATCTGCAGGCAACAAAAATTATTGAGAAACTTGCAACTAAAGTAAATTTTACAATAAAGTTTACCTTAATCATTTGGAAGTATCTTTTTGCCTCGTCGTTGTAAGTCACGCAACGAACTATACCTGTTTCGTCTTGCAGGTCAAAACAGAATAGAGTACATCTATTGCACTCGCGTATTGGGGTGACGGTGACAACTTTCTCGACGAAACAAAATCTAATGGATACAAAAAATCATCGGTACAAGTACATGAATCACAGTGATTACAGCTTATATAAATGAATGAATGAACGATAGAAATGCAAGCAAAAATTATATTAAAACGCACTCACTTTTGTATCATAGCCTTGATATTAACAATTTTATCGCTGCGTGCGTTATCTTCGTCGAATTTTACACTTTTTAGAGGAGATGGTGGTGCGTCTTCAACTTTGCGTTTTCCCATTTTGAGGTTATAACTGGTCAAGTGTTCACAAAGCAATGAGCACGCCGTCGCAAACTACGCAGTGCACGCTTGTGAAACGCCTATTCCCCTACCAAAACTCTTATTCCATTCGCACAACAAGAGACAAAGACCAAACGCAGATGCGATAAGAACTGTGATCACTATGATACATGACGCAGTTCCCATGAACAAACATAGTATCGCCAAGAAATCGGCATACAAATTGCAAATACACTGAGATTCAAGTATTAGAATAAATATATATAGTTGTTGAAAATATTCGATTGATGCACACTAGAGTTGTATGTAAGCCATTAGGAACTGATATCTCCGTGCGATTATTAGATTTGAAAATTTGGAGTGTAATGTCTCATATATATTCACCGAATTCTCGCATACGTGGAATGCGGAGTGTGTACTAGCGGCCTATTGAACGTAATGGAAAAATTATCTCGTATACGACCTTAATGTATTATACATGTTAAGCCAATTTTCAGTGTACAATCAGCAAATTTTAAAAACAAACACATTTTAAACAAACGTCGCTCAGCTTTATGCAACGAACGTTGCCACTAGTAACTACATAAAAAAATTACAGGTACTCTGCAATGGATAAATTTAGTACGGAAAGGAATCAAATTTGCCAAATGGTTTTTTGTATTATTTTCTATTCCAGCCATATTCCAGCAGTACATTTTTTAAGGTTTACCTTCGCATTTCACAAATGGTTCTTTCTTCTATCAATCTTGAACATAATAAAACTGATTGGGATTAAAATTTAATTCAACAATTTACTCGAAAAATACGGCATTAGCCACCGTAAAACGCCACCGTACTCGCCGCAATGTAACGCCGTAGAACGCGCAAATGGAGCAATAAAAACCATGATAGCGCAATACACCGGAGATAACCACAAAAAGTAGGATAAATACATACCCGAAATAGCGTTCGCATTCAACTCCGCGACAAACGAATCGACAGGTTTTTCACCCGCATATCTTAATTTTGGCCGAGAACTACCGCCACCTGGCAGTGAATGGCGAAAGCCTGGAATAAAAATCACCGAAGGGGACAGAATAGAGAATCTGCAAGACGCGATAGAATTAGCGCGAATAAATAAAGCGATGAGTTTCCAAAAACAACAAAAATATTACAACTTACGCAGACGGGATTGGAAACCTAAATTAAATGACAAAGTTCTCAAGCGATCATACGTTTTGTCTAACAAAGTCGAGAACAAAAACGCGAAGCTATCACAAAAATACGACGGACCCTACACAGTCCACAAGGTCGTGTCACCGGTCATTTTCGATCTCAAAAGGAACGGGAAAATTACGAACCTCATTCACGTAAAAGACCTTAAGCTGTTCTAGGACTAAAGTTTTTTGGTTACAGTTACAGCTGCACTTACGCACAACACACCGACCCGACAGTGACGAACGTTTTCCTTTCTTTCTTCCATAACCTCACTCCTTTCTTTCGCTCCCTCCTTTTTTTTCTCGACATGGACAGTTTTACACCGGAACAATTGGAGCTCCAGCAGGAACTCGACGCATTAAACGAGGTGATGATGCGGAACCTGCTGGAGACCCCGATGTCCGAGGAGGACTGGACGACGCTGACAGAACGAACGACGGACCTGACCATCGACGATACGCCCCCGACGAGACCATCCATGACGGAGTGGCGTACTCCCGTGCTCATCGATATGGAAGAACCAACTTTCTCCAACCGCCGCCGCCAGCAAGTACATGAGTGGAGAAAGTCTTTGAAACGGAAGGAACACGAGGCGGCGGACAAGAGAGCACGGGAGGGACGGACCATGGTGACGCGACAAGTACCCGGCGGCCCTCTGGTCGAGGTTCAGCTGGGTGCAAAAAAATGGGTCATCCGACACAAGGGAGGCAAACAACTACTACGAATTGACCCCAAGACCGGCAACATACGACACGTGGGACCACTAAGAGTATTTTATTTTTTTTTATTTTTTTGTGCTGTCCTGTAAAAGGAGAGTGAAAACTCCGGTAGTTTTCAGCCTCCTGACCGGGGGGGTGATGTGACGACCACGTACGTGGCCGCACGAACACTCGTCTGCTACGCGATCAGCTGAGCGAGCCGCGGAGCAGACGAGCGCGCCGCTGTAGGCCCCACGCATGTACTCGCGTTGCTAGGCAACGCGCGGCCCCCACCGCTGGCGCCCGCCTATATAAGCAGGTGACTTGCAGCGGTAAGGCAAATTTGGCTCTGGCCAAAGCGAGCGACAATCGTGAGCACACGAAGTGAGAAGCTTGATTCTTGATACGTGAGCACACGCATCAAGCAGTGTACGTTAACACACGTAACACAATCATACCTTTCCGTGCGTGAGCACACGCACTCTCTCCGACTCTCGTGGGCACACGTGAGCATCCCCGACCCGATCCCCGTACCGTTCCTCCGTTCCTCACCGACCGACCCAAGGCTGTTTATGTGTGACACTTGTTTCGATAGATAGATACTTATACGAACCGACACTCACTTTGTTCCAGGTACCGACTGTCCGGTCCTATCCGACCAACGGGTCATCCAACGCACCTGTGTCCGCTTTGCCTGTCACTACTTGCTTGGCTATCATAGATCAATCTTTGCTAATTGTTAATATTGATGAATCTTTTGTTGCTTACTAGTTTCACTCACGTTATCAAAGATATAGCTTTTCTTATTTCTTTTGCAATCAAAGTAATACTTTTCTTTGCTTTCTGCTCTTTTTAACTAAACTCAAATCCTTTTGTTTGCTTGATTTATTTGTTATATTTGTAAATAATTAATCGTTAGTTAATTAATTAAACAACAAATACTTGTTACCGAACTTTTACGACTTATCATTATAAGCCCCCACCAGATCCCACCGTTACAACGCCAGTGCTGTCGCGGACGATGGGCACACTGACGGTGCAGGTAGAGATTGATGGGCGTGTCGATACGGGGATGATGATATCTGTGACACTGTGATTGTGCCGAGCAGCTAAAGGCAGAAAAGTATAAGAAGAATTGACAGGCAATACTTATAGTGACGCAAATTAACAAACATATTATTTTGCAGGTCAATCGCCAAGGAAAGACGAGCCACCACCAAGAGCCAGACCGAAAGAATCACGAATTCATATGTCGCGCCGGATATAAAACTGTAAAAAGCCGCCAGAGCGCGCTGCGCCGGAAACGCGATGCGTGTGAGTAGGAGGCCGAGCGCGGCATTCACGTGTGGAACACGAGTGAGCGCGGACGAGTAACTTTTTTTTGCGAGATCTTTTCCCTGCCGAGCGAGTTGAGGCACGTGCGAGTGAGACAGAGAGTGAGGAGTGAAAAGTACCTGCGAGTACCGTGAGGAATTGTGTAAGAGAGGCGAGAGTGAACAAAGCAGTGAGGAAAGAGAGAGAGATTAACAAGTGCAGAAGTGTCGTGTGTGTGGAAAGCCGGGTACGAAACCGAGACTTTGGTCCAGGACCACCAGCCGCGACATCCACCAGTGTCGACCACCGTCGGGGCCCAAGCCGGACTACAGCCCAGCCGGGAGGTTTTTGCCAGAGCCGGATCATCATCACTAATTGTTTCGGTACGGTAAACATTATTTGCGAGGTGTGCGAGAGAGAGAGTGTATGCGAGTAGAACAAAAGCCGGTTGAGTTGCGCAAATCATTAAATTAAATTTTAACCCAATTATCAAAATAAATAACATAAAATAAATTTCTATTTATTTTTCTTTTCTACCCTGTGTTGCCTTCCTTTTCCCTTTTGTATTTTTCGCGTACGGCCCAGTCAGAGCCCACGCGTTCATCGAGCGGCGGTGGCAGGGCCTCGAAAAGCCACCGTGTCGCAATTGGCATCACCCTTGTGGGAACGCGAAGAAAGGCAACACATTAGAGTCGGAGTGCATGTGAGTGAATGACTAGAAAATAAGTTTAAACAAAAGTCGGTTCTTCCAAAAGTCGGAACGAAAAGAACGTACGCCGCCATTCGTGCGCGAACGTGTCGGGCAGTTTCGTGGAATCACGAGGCACGCCGTCACAGCGAACGCGCATAGCCGGGAAAAGACCGAAACACAACCACTCCAGTGGCATGCCAGAGTCGTGCATACGTGTAGAGATACGGACTACGCCTGAATACACGCGCCGCGTTTGACTTTTAGCCAAAACAAGCGCGGACCTGTTCGGACCGTATTCACAGCGATCAGAGTCGAACGTTCGAGTAGTTTCGCGAAGGATCGAGACTTACACGAAAACTTATTTTTACTAACAAACGACTAGCCGGATTCGTAGAAACGCGCAATTTCGTGGCACCGACAGATCACGTACGCACGCACAAGTAGCGAAGCGGCAGTGCCGTTTCGGCGAATACCGCCAGTAAGCTGCGCCAGAAAGTTTTCCCTCTTTCGGCGTATCAATATTTTTTTCCTAACAGCGAACACGATCCCACAAGCCAGACGAACGACTTACGCCAGAGTCCCAATGTCGTACGAGTTATTTATGCCAGATTTCTCGGACGCATATCGATACATATAGATCGATTGATATCTCCTACATTCGTGCCAGTATCATTGAACATATAGACCGAACGACAGTAAATAAGCCATCGCGCGAAGCCACGCTCATCATGGCCGACCCCGCAGATTACTGAACTATTTGATGACGGCGCGAGACAATCGTGCGTTGAAGCGTCAGATTCTAGCTCTGCCTCACACTGAAGTTGTGACTGAACTCCGCCGAATGAGAAAGAGCCTGGACGGATCGCTCCGAGTGCTACAAGAGAGATTACTGCGCGCAAAATTGCGCGAGAGCGAACACATCCGCGCATATGTACCGTGGTACCCAGCGGACGACGTTTTCGCCAGTCGCGACCGAAGCAAATAGAGGCATTTCTTCGACAAACGCAGCTGTGCGAAGAGACAGCTCAGCGCACGCGAACGATGTCAGCGAGACTGCGGCAGCCGAATTCATAGGAGCTTGTCACAAATGCCAGCGTGTC